GGTACAATGACTGCAGTAGATGAAGTTAACATATAGTTAGTAATTAAATAGCTAATTTTTATTGAACAGATATATGCTGGTACTAGACTAAACCTTTTCCATGTTTTATCTCACTTAATCCTCACAGTGATTAAAAGAGAGGCAGGTACAGTTATTACCTTTCTTTGATGCAGAAGTTTCTTTCTTATAGAAGTTACTTAAATTGACCAAAAGCCAGACAGCTAGATAGGGGTAGATCCAGAATTTGAACTTGGGCTTGTCCAATATCAGCGCCAAGGTTCTGCACCACTTCACTAAACTACACTTTCTGTTTTTTAAAAAAGCATAATAAATTACTTTTATTTGAAGCGTTGCTGCTTAGAAAGTATATTAGTTCATGTTAAACCACATGAAATTGCCATTTTTGTATGTCAAAAATGGTTGAATACTGGCAATTCTATGTTTCAACCTATAATTTCATCCTTTGAGTCAGACAGTCATTTCATATAGGAATTATAAATAGGATTTTAAAATTCAGGAATCTGAGACCTAGAAAAGATTAAGGGTATAGAAAAGAGTCTTAGTAATTAAAAGATGAAGGAAAATATGTGTCTTATCTTGTACAGCCCCATGCTGATTTCACTGCCCATGCCAAAGTCCTTCTCACCTAAACATGTCTTTGATTTGCTGCCTGCTTGCTTCTGCTCCATCAATACCTTCTCCCCTTTCCACCTGGACATTTCAAAATCTGATACACGTATTTTTCTTCCTTAAGGCCCTCCAAGTCAGTTTAGCCTGTGGAGAGCTCAATTTCCTCCAAACCTTTTCAGGGATCACCTCAGCCATTCACTGCATAATGGTGTTGTCTTAACGTTTCTTTCAGTCCTGACCTGCCTTTACAACGCTTTTCAATCTTCTATGCAGTCATTGTATTTAACTTAAAGCCATGTTACACAGGGTTCCCTCTGATAACTTCTTCACTCCCTTTGGTGGTTCTTTTGAGGCATAATCAGTGTTGGTCACATCCTCCAAACACTACTAGGCAACAAATTTTACTCTAGATTTTTTTTAGAGAAGAGAGAGATCATACACATCACACATTTCAAACCCACAGTATCTCTATCAAAAATGAAATCCCTCTCTTCCACCAGTCTCCTTCTCCATACATCACCCTCCAGGTAAGCTCCAAATAGCCCTTCCAGCTGCCTTTAGCATCCTCCAAGTTCCTTCTCATTTTCCTATAGCTCTGAGTTCCTTCTCTTATGTAATAAAACTTGGCCCTACCTAGTTTTCTCTAATTTGCATCTTCATACTTACAACCAGTATGCTTAACAAACTAAAAACCACTTCTGTGTCCACCTTTCTGAGGAAGCAGCAAAGGATTATGAATAATAAATAATATTTTCCCTTCATGCTTCTTATACAATGTGTTCTTTTCTCCCAACAGCCTATCAACCCACATCTCAAACACAAGAACATTTATTTAGCACCTACTATGGCCCAAGTATTACTATGCTCCATGCTTAAATGGATTATAACTCTCTATGTCTGATACTTGCTGTACATCCATTCACCAAGACCTATCATATTGCAAGCATAGAGCAGGTATTAAAAATATGTTGTTAAAGGGGCCGGCCGAGTGGCGCGATGGTTAAGAACTGACTTGGGACGCCAGAGGGCCCCAGTTCGGATCCCACATATGAGGGCCAGTGACACTGCCCTCCACAGCTAAGATGCTGAACAACAGCTCAACCTCGAGCTGGGCTGCCGTGAGTCGCAGGCGATGGCGTAGGCTGCAGCCCCTGCTGCAGAGGGTTGCCATGGGCTACCATGTATAGCCAGCAGCCAGCGTTAGCAGCCAGCAGCCACCGAGAGCGGCTGTCCAGAAGCCAGCGACTGATGTAGCTCGTCCGGGAAGAGTGCAATGATGGTGCCAACTTGGGCCAGTGAAGCAACGTCCTGCACAACTAGACTGAAGAACAAAAGGACAGCAACTTGTCTGTTCCCCTTTCCCAATTCCCCAGCGCTGTTCCCATCCTCCCAATTCCCCAATAAAAATCTTTAAAAAAAATGTTGTTAAATTGATTTTCATTGTAACCAATAATCTTTCAAATCACCAAGAAAAAGGAATTTAAACTAGTGAGATTAATTCTGGTTCACTGACAGAAATGAACCCACTATATATTTTTTTAAAGATTCCAAGTATTAAAGAAAGTATTTTCCATAAATCTCTACTTGCCTTTCAATAAATAGTATACACTATTAACCTATCAAAATTATAACTAAATTCTTTAAAATTAGTTATCCACCAATAAGAGAAATACTAAAACTTCTGGCATAAAGAAAACAAAAAGCCCATTTTTAAACAATATAATCTCACTAGTAGAAGAAATACAATTTAAATGATATGTTCATGCTCATAAATGAGCAAAACATTTAAATATGAAGACACCCAATGCTATCAAGCATGAAATAAAGCAAGTATATCCATAGAGTGCTAACAGGACTATAAATGGAAACACCTTTTTCAGAAAACAATGTGGCAATATACTATATCATGAAGCCCCAAGGTAGCAGTATTAATAACTAGTAGGAATTTATTTTGAGAAAATAAGATAAAAATTAAAAGCAAAGATTTCCACTACAGTGTTATTTCAAAATGGTAAGACTGAAACAACCTAAATGTATAACAGTAGGGGTAAGATTAAGTAAATTTTGATGTACCTACTCAAACTATAAAACAGTCTAAAAACCTGATAGTAAAGGTCCGTGGTGATACAAAAATTCCTTATTAAAATGTTAACTGAAAAATCAGGATGTAAATACACACACACACACACACACACACACACACACACACACAAAATGATCACAGGTGTATAAAAATATCCATATAAAACAATGCTATGGATATTTTTTCACCTTAAAACTATGAATAATTTTCCTGCCAATTAACATCATTGATATTTTTATAGTAACCTTTATTATAATCAGAGAAGAATAAAAAGGTTTTCTTTAACAGAAAGCTGGGTTTCGGTATATACCACAGAAGCTTTCTTAATCTTTTCCAAAACAAAGTAACTGTCTAATACAACATTCTGAACACTCCCAGTTAATAGATTCCTTTCAGTGAACTTCTTGCCATAAGCCACAGTCATGTATTTTCTCAAACCAGTTAATGCCATTCTACTGGTGACTAAAATTATGTAAGAGAATAAAGTATTATGTAAACTAATAACATATGAGTAAAAATGTTGTTTCTATAAAAAGACTCAATCAAGGTGCATCACTAAAAGAAAGCCTGTCAAATTAGTTCTAGATGGGTGCTACTGGAAAACACTGAGGAACTGTGGGAATTATTATTATGATTTACATGAAAATCATAAAATCTGGAATGATTCTGCACTCCAACTACCACACAAATATTTTAATATCTTTAATTATTTTCTTTCCAAGAGTAAGAAGCAAAAAGTGGAGACCACTTACGATGCATTATTAGTGAGGTTTGTGTAAGAAAGACGATTGAATCTCCCATTAGCACACTTAAGTTCAAGGAAAAGATCTCTGTCTTCTACCAAAAGTTTGATATTTTAATATATATTTATGGGTTAAGCAAAAGTAAAATGACAAAATAGTATATACTCTAAGCAACATTTTAGGTAAACCCAACAAATGCTCATTCTCGTTGGTCAGATAAGAAGGCCTCTACTGCATATAATATATACACCCAAGAGTAATTTATAATCACATATGTAAATTATAATTTATTTAAGAGTGATGTTATACATATGCTTATAAGAAAATATGTGTGTATATGTATGCACAAAAAGATATATTTGTATATAAGTACATATGTGTGAGTCTACATACACACACATACACACACACACACACACACAATGTATATAAATACCATGAAATTAACTACTCTACTGCTTTACCAAATCATGCAATCATGCAATAGACCTTGCTTAAGGAGGTAATTTACCAAACTCAAGTGTGAAATTAAATTTAGTGACAATGACCACGGTGCGTGTAGGCACCATGGTTCTGGTTGAAAGCATCTTGTTTAACTAAGTGTTCATTTACCCTTATCAGCAATGGGCAGAGCCAAACAAATTCTTGTTCAGACATCCTAAGATTCACTTTCTGGTGGGGTTCAAGTACCTAAACCTAAAGCATTTGATGCAAAGACACCATTTACAGCCAACTCAGAAGTCTACTTTGGAATTCTGGGTTAATAAGTTTCTCACAGGTCAGTCCAACTTTTTTATGCTCCTTCCTCTTTTGTATGTGAAATAAAGGTGGGCTAAATGTGTTCAGAAGTCCAAATGGTGAAGAAAATAGCTCTTGTGTAAAACTATATAAGAACTTTTATTTTGGTGAATGGGTATATTTTCATTTTCCTCCTTTGCTTAAAAGATATTAAAATGTAACATGTATGGGAGAGCATTATACTGTTAAGTACATGGAAAATATGAAATCATTCCAAGGGAAGCATTAAGAAGTAGTAAACCTGCCTTCATACCTTTGTCCCTTGCTTTCTAGCTCTGTGATTTTGGGCAAGTTACCTAAAATCTCTGAATCTCAGTTCCTCATCTTAAAAATGAGAAAACTACCACCATCCTTATGAGGTCTTGTGAAATTAGCCAAAACCACTTATATGCCTGGCACAGTTATTGAGTGGAAGATCAATAAATGTTCATTTCTCCTCCTGCTCAAGTTTTGGTACCTTAATCAGAAATAGGATTATTTAAGGATCCCAGGCAGTAATATATGTATATACATCAGAGTCTGGCACAAGTCCGACCCACCATAAATGTCTCCTCTTGAAAAAAAATAAACAAACAACTGGAATTATTTATAGATAACTTCTTATCCAATGTTGTTTGTTCTCTGTTACTTGCATTAATCGCATAAAGAATACACTCTAATTTCATATATATATTACACACACACACACACACACACACACACACACACACACACACATACAGCTCCAAGTCAAATGTAAAGCTTACCTGCAGTTCCAGAGAGTTCCACACTTAAGGTTCGTTCAATAGTCTTGTTCTCAAATGGGGAACCCTTGGGGTCACTGGAAGATATGGCACATTTATAAAAACAAACTGAAATGGAGTTGCTGTAGCCAAATGTATTAGAACCCCCTTCCCTTTCTGAAAATGGTTACATTTCTTTATACTTACTTTGGTGACTCTGGGGTCAGAGGAAGAGATAAAGTTGTTGGTTTGGCTAAAGGAAAAAAAAGGAAACTAATTATGAAATATTGAGTGTTTTGGATTTGTTTTTTTTCTACTATAGTCAGATTGGAAACTGGAAACTGGAAAACGAAAGTAAGGAAATCCCTGAATATTGGATCAAAGTTAGACAATAGTCCATTACGCTAAAAAAAGTTCCGAACAACACTTGCAGCAGGAAACTGTCATTCAAAAAACATATAAAAACAGAATTTCCCACAAAAATGTAGCATCCCTGTTAAGGATACAAAATTTGCATCATATCATCAGAAGGAAATAATGTTTCCTATTTTAATTTGGAATACAGTACATGGCTTGTTTAGACAAGAAAAGAGCAGAGCAACTACAAATGACAGAACATTATGAATATTTAGTTGAGTTTTCTTCTAAAATGCATAATTTTATATCTGGCCTGAGAATAGGCTATTTCTATGAGGCCAAAGCTCATATAATAGCCATTCCATTCACTAAAAATTAATTAAAAGATTATGGCAAATTGTGGACATTGACTCAGGTGGCTTAAAAGGGGTTCAGATCCCCAAATCTGAAAGACAACTAAAGTAATGTACTATGTTTAACAGTTGAGAGATTTAAAGACTTGCTAAGAGAGCTCATCTGCTTCCTTTTATTCTTCTTAAATTTTACCTCCTACAGAAGGCATTTCCCAATTATTAAGGGTGGATGGAGTAAGACTTCTCACTCCAAAATTTCAATTGCTTCTCTTTGAACAGAAGGAGGGAAAAACATGATGAGAAATGCCCTTGGGATATACATTCACATATTCTGTATATATATATATATATATATATATATATATATATATATATATGCTTATCTGTAAGATATATTTATATGTACGTAGGTTTATGTCAATTTTTTTCCAGTAAAATAACTACTTTCGAAAGGTCAAGAGATAGTCGTTTATGTAATGAAAATCATAGACTTGAAACCAAAAACGTCTTTAGAATAAACTTCCTTATTTTATGGATGAAAGAATCTGAGAAAAATCTTTAGAGATGCTAAATGATATTTTCAGGGCCATAAAACTGGCTACTGTCAGAACCAGCCCGGAATATGTTTCTTTTCTCCTATAATATTATCAAAAGGAACTGCAACCAATAGATATTAAAGCAAATTAATCAACCCCAGTAATTAAGGTCCTCTGAAATGGGAAAATATTATTTATATCCAAATTAGGCTGAAATTAGGTACTTTACTTGGATAAATAGTATTTACACTTTTAATTGGTAGATTTAGATTTAGTTTTTAAACAATGGAATGGTTTATCATCTACCCAGTGTGCATCCAATAATGTGAAGTTCGTGTTGTCATCTACAAATTAGGTACATTGATTGATTGGCTTTTTCATATATACAGATAAATGAACAGGGTTTACATTCAATTTTTTTTAGTATGTCTGTTATAATGAGCCTTTCAAAAATAACACACTTATGAAGGAACTTTCCCAACTTTTACAGTGCTCAACTAATAATTAGGATAAGGCAAACAGGTTCCATACCAGAAAATCGCACCAGATATGTACATTTATTGAATGCATATTGAAAATGTGCATTAAAAATCAGTCACTGGAATTCTAGCTTTCAAGGTGTAGGTAGGCTATCTGAAATGCTCAAAGGAAGACCGCCAAATTTCTGATAGTTGGGTACAGACAAGGCCAAGCAATGGAAGGAAAGGAGTAGGCGGTAGCCATATTTAATGAGAACAAAAGCAAACAGAAAATGAGGGCCATAGAAGGGGTACAGCCCCTAACCTCATACAGATCTAATCTCTGAATAAACCCATGCTCACAAAAGCTACCGCTAGAGGAGCACTGATTTGGTTCACTCAGCATTTAATCCACAGTTTCAATGACTAGTAGACCAGAGACCATGATCCTTGAGGGCAGGAATGCATCTTTTTCATGCAGATCATGGTATTTTTGATGAAAAAATGCATTAGCAAATGAATGAATAAATGAATCAGTGGAACACCAAGTGCCAAAGGCCAGACCATTATCCTAAGGAACTTAGAAGAACCTGACCCCACAATGTTACAATGTGCACACATGGATTTTAGTGAGGAAAAATTACAATACATTAGGAAGGGTAACCTCAGTAGAGAGCTTAGTGATTGTCTTCAATAGTTCATATATTTTTCACTTTCAAATTGTGAATAATAACTTCATCCCTGAAGCTGAGCATTTATTTCCTGTTGGTTATTAACAGCCAGCCATTTTTTATTTTTATTTTTTTAGACCTTTAATAACTACAGGATTTTTTTTTTCCAGTCAAAAAGCTTTGTTCCGGGGATAAGCTTTTCATGCCTCACCACAGAAATATACTTTTAAAAAACCCACGTGCAGCAGGACTCTTCCAAATACTATTTCTTCCATAAGCCAATTTAATTCCTCATTGCCATCTTTTGTAATAGTTTACAGTAATATTTAGTGGTAAGCAAATTTAAATATTAAAAAAACCAAAAACCCTCAAAATCCAAAAGGACCAATTAAAGTTACAAAAAAAGAAAATCTTTAAAACATGAGCAACTGGACTGGGTTCACTGACTACCAGGTTTCATCGAGCTTGGGACTTCAAATCCAGCTCCCAAAAATGAACGCATGACTAGCAAGAGGTAAAACGTAGCCTCGTGAATTCTTCAGCTCACTCACTAGAGCGAGTCCAGCTGGCTTTCCTTCAACTGGGGACTTCAGCAGCCATGAATCCCACAGCACGGCTGGTTCTGCTCTGAGAAAAACTCTTCCAGAGAGTGTATATGAGGGGGTCTATCAGGGCGGAGCCTGCTAAAAGATTTCGGCTCATTTCGATAAATACATTTTCCTGAACTTACAGAAAGGGGTGGAGAGTGATTTTGAGATAGCCACCAGGAAAAACCTAACCAAAAGCCAGTTTAAAAGGTGCTAGGAAGGTTCCTGAAAATTCTGGGCTTATGGTGAGGTAGGGATGAGAGAGGGAAATTCAAAACACTGGGAAAGAAAATACTTATGAAAAGCAGCAGCAACAGCATACCTGTGTGAAATAATCATGGTTCAAAACAGGGATCAGGGGCTACCACTCTGCAGCTGGAAGGGGAAGTTGGGAAAACAAAAGGAAAAAAAAAAGAGGTGGATGTTTATAATTGCTATTTTAGAATAGGCCTACTTGCAACTATAAGGTAAGAGGTCTTGTTCACGTAGAAACTGGAATACTTTAAAGCAACAGCAACTTTCAACAAGCTCTCTCTGAGCCTCTCAGACTAGAATATTTTGAGAGAAGGGGCCAAAAAGAAAGAAAAGTACATCTCCATCAAGAGAAATGTTCCCAAAGTTACCCTGATTTGTCTCAGAAGCATCAGCCTTCCAGTAACGTATGGGGATAATAAAAAAAATCAACCCAAGTTTCATTTAATCTAGGCAATGTTATTTTAAAATAGAAAGCAAATTAAAAAAAAAATTCTAGGAAATTCCAAATCCTTATGTACAAAATAAAATCTGTGAGCCTAACATGTAGTCTCAAAACAAAACAAAACCAGAAAAAGAATGCACTTAAAAATCAGTCGAGGCTGCATAATTATTATTTACTATTTCTTAAAGTATATACAGCAAATCAACAGTGCCTCATTTTTTTTCCATGATTGAAAGGGGGGAAAAATAAATCAAAGCTCTTTAATGAATTGCCTAGCCCAGCTTGCTCAGAACTTCAATTATCTCAGCATTTCGGAGTCATGTAAACATCATCTAATGTTGCAATGCACCCCCTTCGGCACTACCCACCCTCAGCTAACACTTCAGGTGCCTTTTGGTGATCGTGAATTAGGCTGTATATCAGCCGAATAGGATATGTTCAACCTATGTCCCAGCAAGGGGTTTTTTCCCCCCATCTATAATAAAGTGCTGAATTCTCTTTCTAGAGAGACACCCCTGGAAAGGAAGCCAGAAGTTTGGGCATCGTCAGCCCGGCACACAGCGCCCTTGCACACAGAGTGTGTTTTTTTCTCCCCAGCCTACCTTGTAAATGTTGCGACTGCGATTGTGTGTGGGACTTCTTTTTGGAGGTGCATTTGTCTCTGCTGCTGTTCCTGGTCTCTGTGGGTTTAGTGTGAGGAGGGTCATCGTTTGTGGTCAGATACTTGAGAAGTTCGGAGCAGGGACGTCTTTGTGGCTTTTGCTGTTGACAAATGCTCTTTGCTTTATTGCTCCATGAATTCTCGGTCTTAAAAAGAAGGCATAAAGAAAGCTAAAAATTAGTGAACTGAACCTTATCAGAATGGATATAGGTTTTCTGAAGAGATGAGATTTTCAATGAAGTGTTCAGTCTAAGTGTACTAGATCTATGAGCTGTGAATAATTGTTTGCAGAACAAGGAAAGAAAATTACATTTAAAATTCCTAAATGACATTTATGCAGCTTTTTATTTCATTTCTCCTACATTTCAATGTTCTTACTCAGCAACATGTAACTAACAAGACCCTACAGCGCCTTTACTGTGAATAAAAAAAAAAAAAAAAGCTGGTTTAAACCTTAATTTGCCACTGATTGCCGGAGCCCAGTATTCACAATTCTCTTAAGTACCCCTTAACACTCCGTTTTCACTCACAGTGAATGGCAAGACAAACATTGTTTAATACAGCCTGCTAACCGAGTTATGTCATTGTCGGCATTCCATCCAATTAATGGCAGAGATAGATCTTCTGCGGTGATTCCAGAGCAATCTTTCTCAGGTTAGACAGCTGGCAAAATGGCAATCCTGCATCTTAAAGTCACTCATAGATAATACCAGCCTATCAGCAAATGAAATTGCAGCCCACACTGCCACATGTATTAATAAAGTGGGCAAAGAGTAACAGACGGTGGAACCTCCATTTCAATTGTCTAAAGACAAAGTGTAAACGAACGCTTCCTAGTTTCAAATAGCTGGAGTGCTGCTTTTGGAAACCCATTTCATGATCGGTTTCACCATTAGGAGGCAACTGCAGGATCCCAGCTGACTTCACACATATAAATTAACCGATCATTTGTTGTACAGCTTCAGGCAAAAACCCTTTGTGACTTTCCTTCCTATGTTAAAAAGTTTAGGTCTGTACCTTAACAACGGAGGGGTTTGTTCTGATCCTGTGATTATGGTTTGCATGATTCTGGGTACTGAGACCACTGCATTCATTATAACTTAGCTGAGTGTTGGCCGGCGCCAGTAAGAGCTTCTTGAGCTAGAAACGTATCAGAGAAGGGGGAAAGGCAAGGAAAGTTAAGCGTCTTCTAAGCATTAGAATAAGGTATTGAAATTTTTAACTTAAATTGAATTATAATCATAAAAAGTAATTATATCACTCTTTAATTATATCACACCTTATCACAAAAGTACTAAAGGAAATGCACATTTAAAAACTAAGAAAAAGTTGGGCTTTATACTACCAACTGAAAGTATTTCCTTTTCCTACATTTGAAACTTTGTATTGTCTGCCAATTTCTTTTAGATAGAATCAGGCAAAAGCATCTTCCTAAAAAGATTTACAAATCACTACTAGGTGAGAAAAGCTGCCTTGCTAAATGAGGACCTGGGGAGTAGGAAGGGAATATATGGACATTTTCCCCTCCAAATGAACAAAGTACATGAAAGATTCTGTGAGGTTTTGACTTATGTTACACGATCAAGTATAAAACCTTACTGATGCAAAGAATATTTGGAATAAAAGAGTGGCTACCGTTGAAGAGGATTTGTAAATAGAGTCAACAGATGTGGGTTCTGGCTCAGCCAAAGCAGTTACTGTCCCTTGACTTCTGTTTCTTCATTTGATTTGAGGGCCTTCCCGGGCCTCCCTCCTTGGACACTTAGTATGACTCTAGGTCAACAACACCTTCCAATTGAATCAATTGTATGGATGAAAATCATCCAGTATCAACAGGAAGAAATCAGAGTCCTGACAGAAGAGCCAATGATACTGACAAATGGAGAAATTGGGGAATAAATACCAATTACTTATGAGGTATTTTCTTCTAGACCAGAAATTTCAAAAGGCGAACGCATACAAGCAAGGTCTCCACATGTTTACATGGAGTGCTTTTAACATTTAAAAATTTAGAGATGGGTGAGAAACAGCCTCTAAATAGCACATTGAAGGACATTATTAAAGTTTGGAGGATGGTGTTCTGTAATTTACATAGTGTGCTCTTACATCAGATTTATGGCAAATGACAAATGGCTAAAACAAACAAAAAGGTAAAACTGTGTCTTAGAACCAATAAAATTCTGGTCAAGCACTGCTTTGAAAAGGAAATTCACTCTCCAATGCCAACAAATTCATTCTTCATTGCCTACCATAAATTTAGGTAACTTAAGGTTGCAAATGTGCTATCATTTATCAATCTTCATAAGAATTATGGATCCAAAGTCTTTAAAATATTACATACCCCTGATCTACCTTCTATTTCTAGAATTGTATGCATAAGAATAAAACTAAAAATATGTCAATTATTATACAATTTATGACAGTGAAAAATAGGGTAAAAAGAGACTAAATATCCAACCTTAAGGGATTACTTAATAAATTGGGACATCTTCAAATAACAAAATACTATGCAACCATTAAAATAATGGATACACTTAAAATTCACAAACATACTAATCATATATCTTAATAAAAGAGGAGATTTCAACCATTTTGTATATTAGAGGTTATTTGAAATTACAGGTGAATGTTCAGTCTATTCTTTTTGGTTGTCTACATTTTCTAAGTTTCTACCATGAACATAAATAATACTAAGAAATAAAAGTACACACAAAAGATAGTTTAAAAAATGTAGTAAGATCACAGGAAGACTGTATTGTCAATATTTTTAAACACAGAATCACAGAGTCTGCAACTCCAAGTGTGCTTGGGGATTGTTTTGGCATCAGTCTAAATTAAAAATCCAGACCTTATTGTTACTACATCATACCCATGCAGCGGGTAGCCAGAGGCAACTCCAATTCCTGTTAAACAGTAGGAAGGGTTCTTACTAGAGACGGCTCTTCTGCCTCCTGAGGCGGAGGGGTGCCGTCAGGCATGGAGGAAGGACTAGCCTCATTCTCAGTGGTCACATCTCCATCTGTCAGTGCATCAAATGAGGGCAATCCGTCTTCATCCACAGGGAGACTGTCCAGGGTCTCTGTGAGGACTGCTAGCAAGTTCGCCTCATTCTCTTCATCTATCTTCTGCAGAAACAAAACAGGAAGATGTGAGTGAGTCGACACTGGGAAATGGGTCACACTGTTCATCGGCAAAGATTGGACAGGTTTAGCCAAAGAAGTCAACTGCACATAAAATTTTGAATGCACATGCCAGAACACAACGATCATGTCTTTCTCAAGAGTCCAAGTTCAGTTTTGGTCTGAAACACACAATGAATTAATCCCTCTACTGTACCAATCTCTGATGGTTGAGCTGTCCAATTTAGTAATTTATTATGTCAGAGTCTAATACTAGTGTCTCTGATTCTGTCTTGGTCACAGTCGTTTTCCACATGTTTATGTCTTGTTTTCCCTAACTAAAAGAGATGATTTAGAGAGTGTCAGGACTTGAGAGGATTTTAACCATTATCTAGTTAATCTTCACATATAGTATTTCAATCCCCCATGCAGCATACCTGCTGAAATGTTAAACCTCTGAACACCACCAGAAATTGAAACTATACCAAGAGAAGCTATACACTTTCATGGTTTCAATTATAATCTCATCACCTAACACTCCATAGTCATTTATTTCTCTCCTTGACATCTTTCCTAACTTTAGTCATAAATCTATAACTGCCTACTGGATATTTCTAATGGATAATAGCTCCCTCATTTCCAAAACCGAAACTTAGGACTTTTCATGACAAAATTGCTGTTTCTCTTGGCTTTTCATGTTTGGGTAACAATTCTTCAGACCTCAACTCTGGAGCTACTGTGTTTCCCTGAAAATAAGACCGAACTAGAAAATAAGCCCTAGCATGGTTTTCAGGATGCTCGGAATATAAGCCCTACCCCAAAATAAGCCCCAGTTTAAGATCATCAGCCAGACAGGACTGTATCTGAATAAATGTAGATTTTTGAACATGAATAAATGAATAAAATGTGCCTTTTGGAGCAAAAGTTAATATAAGGGCCGGTCTTATTTTGGGGGAAACACAGCACCTTGCGACCTCTTGATCTGGTCACTCACTAAGCAGAGTCTTACTTTGTAACAGCTCTTAAGTGTATTCATTTCTTATGGCCAAGGGTACGATTCTAGTGCAACATTACTTCTAATGGAGGCTCCCACAAATGTACTCTATAACTTTTTTCTCAATGTCCACACTCAATCCCACCAAGATATCCTTGGAAAGCTAATCTTCACTTATTCATTCCACAGATACTTTTGAACACCTACACCAGGTATTGAAGGCATAAAGAGAAACAAACAACACTCTGCCCCTCCAATAACACTCCAGCAGAAGGAAGAACCTGAAAACAATTTATTACAAAAGACAATATTGATTTCAGTTCTCTATGTAAAAACTTTCAAGATGACCTGAACTAGAGCATATATACCTTGTTTATAGGGCAATGTGCTACATTCTGTGCATCTGGCAACCAATGCTGGGTACACAGAGAATAGTTGATTACCTGGTGACTTATTCATTGATCTGCATGTATTGCCTAAAATATATAGTGTGTCTATTGCTTTCTTTTCCTTCTTTTAGCACTTCACATTGTTTGTCCAATGATCTGTTTCATATCTTTTTTTAATGTTCTGTAGGCTATGACATTAACAATAGCTCAATTATCCCACACAGATTCTATTACACAATGCACCTAAGCTGTTGGCATCTAATGAAGCTAGCAGTGCCCACACTTCCTTTTCTCTGGCACCGAACTCCAGTTAATTGACCTGACAAAATTACAAGAATCACAGAATAAGACAGCTAATCAGAAAATCAAATTGTATTACTAGAGAAATTAGGCAGGGCTTTATCACGTATACATTCTATTTTCACATAAAAAATTGTTTTCCCTCATTACTAATCAGCCTCCATCCAGAAGAAAAACTATAGACTTCTTTTTTTTATTATTCAAGAGGCCAAGAAGAGCTATTTGCTACTTACATACTTATAGTGGACTTTACTGGGTATTTTTTACATTTGCATTATGCATCTTCTTAGTGTTCCTGGACTTGACATTGCGAGTCAAGTGGTTTTGGGCCCACAAAGTAGAGTGGCGACAGCATGAGTTTTAGGACTAATGCAGAGGGTAAATTCTAATCAGAATGGATAAAATGTTAACTTCAAAATGGCACCACTTCCTTCCATAAACTGATAAAATCGTTAAAAATTCAAATTGCTCAATTTAATAACAATTATTAGCATCCCTCCCTCCCCCTCAACTCTTCTGGATAACGTCCATGTAATTTTATTTGTAAAGATACTGAAATCATTTGCCTTTATTTTCTGGCCAGGGTTATAATTTGGCATCCAAAAATTCCAATCTCCTTTTTGTTTTAATTTAGATTCCTTCACATACCAAAAAACTAAATCAAGTATTAAATTATTCTGAGTAAAAATATAATTAAATGAAATACATATTGTTTTACATATCCCAAAGCCATGAAATTTACATTAATATAAGAATCTCCATGTTACCTAATAAAAATAATTTTGAAAATATCTGAAGCAGACACACATACTTTCAGTAAATTGAACATTTTTTCCAGGTATCCCAATTTCCATAAAGGCTTATTTCAAGTTTAAAAATAGCTCAATAAAAATAGTTAAGCGTGTTTACCAATAAATGAATAATTTTGTTTACCCTGATTTAAATTTTGGGTTTGGCTTCCCAGCAATAATACTACAAGCCTCTATTTGCTTTCAATCACAAAATACAATAGCGCTTTAGTTTTATCCCTAGTGCAAACAAACTACAATAATTCCAATCAAGTCAAAATGACAAAGAACACTTAAATTAACTAGTTTTTTTCCAATTTATTTAATAAGCCTGGGTGAATGTACACCAAAATACAATGGCAGAAAGATTGGAGCTTGATAATGTTATAATTAATTTACAAGACCTGATTAAACCACCAACTATTTTAATTCTCCTCTCTACTGGAACCACAAGGGGTGGGGGGGGTTATTAGATAGAAGATTGGCATTTTGCTAGTGTATGTTTGTGAGTGTGTGTATGTGTGTGTGTTGAGGTATGTAGGTAGAGCAGGCTGGTATTCAAATTGTATGGACCAGTAGGACTAATCATTATTTATATTCAGTGTCCATTAGAAGTAATTTAAACCTTTTACTTATCATCCCTGTCTGTGGGTGACTCCAAGAGGTGCTCCAAGACCAATTATTTTAAGAAAGCAGTTTTTGAATTAAGGGAGAAAAAAATGTTATTATTTCAAATTCTCTGTGTTTTCTTTCATCATAGAAGGCTGGGGAAAAAGTTTGATATTTACCAATGACACTTCTGTGTTGAAGTTCGACAGATACCCCAATATGTAAACTTGAGTGGGCACTGCCCCTCACTGTGGCAATGTCAATTAGTTTACCATGAGTTTCAACAATCAAATGCCCACCACACTGCCCCAAAAGGCAATGGATGTGACGAAAAGGACTCTGTTAAACAATTAATGTCACTTTCCATTATTGCTTCGGTCCCAATTTACAGAGCAAATAAATCAACGTCACTGCAGCTGAAGCACACTGGCCTAGTAACACACGTCTGTTCACAGGTGAAGGACAGGGAATCACATTAGTCAGTAAAATGACATTGCAAGATAACCTCTCAAAGACTCAGCTCTGATACTGCTTTCTAAATGTTCGAAATGACTGTTTTTACAAAAATCTACTTATTAGCTTCAAATAAGTTTAAAAAAGAAAAGCAGTGAGGTGAGAAAGAGAGAGCAGAACACCAGTTGGGTAGCGACCTACAGCTACATAAACTGAGCTCAGTCTAGTAGCCAGCAACAGAGAGGCGGAAGTAAAGGTAGAAACTAGGCCAAGAGGCATTTCAAACACCGCTGAGCTCTGTGGTCGTCAAGCAGCATTTCTCATGGTGGATTTCAACCTTGGGCTCTCCTTACACAATGCAAGTCTGCTGCTACTCTTCCCACCTAAATAAAGGTCCATGTGACTATAACGCCTCATTCTCTAAGGGCTCTCCAGGAAGAAAGAAGGCACATCAACAAAAACTCACTCAAGGTGTAAAGAATTTCCAGTGACAGGTGATACACATACATGTGTACGAACAACCCCAAATTTAGAATATGCAACAATTCCAATGCAATGCCATGTCCTTAATAAATGAATTTAGAAGAGTCAACAAAATCAGAAGCTTTATGACTGCTCTTTGAGACAGCTGGGTCCCTATTTGATCTGGACTAATGTGCTATAATTCAAAAGGTACCATTGAAGGAAGGTAAATTCTAGCCCTTCAGGTGCCCAGAGTCACCTCAAAATTGCAATTTGGGATTCAGTATGTAATATCTGGGCCCTCTTCCTTTGGGAGCAGTTGGCAAAAGAATCTTCCAATTGGTTTTACAACCTGGGGCAGGCAGTGCATTCCACTCACCCAACTGCACACAGGCAGTGAATAAATCCACTAAATTAAGGAGGCAATGAGAGACTTTGAAATGCTAACCAACACCTGAAGGGAGAAGCCCAGAGTGAAAACCGCATGTGGTATCCTCAAGATTTCTAAACACAGGCTATTATGGAAGGACCATGCCCTGCTTATGACAGTAATTTTTTCCACATCTTGTAGAATTGCAATTACACTCTGCATCCCTAGATTTTCACACTTGCTTGATCTCTGTTTGATAAAAATAGTTTAATAGCCATTTAATCACAGCTTCATTATCTTAGCTCTCTTAATGTGAATTAGGCCAGGAGAATTCTGGCTTCCTCATTATTCAAATCATCAATAAGAAGGAAACAGTGGGGGCTTCTTATCATTCATTAATCACTTTCAGTATCTTAGGTACTGTTTACTTAGAGATCAATCTGTGTGAGAGGTCACTTAACCTCTCTGAACCTCTGTTTTTTTCTATATAAAATTTCAGGTTATTATCTGCCTAATTCCTATTACAGAATTTTTCTGCACTCATGATTAATAGGGAGATAGAAAGAGTGGATAATGGCCTGAGCATTCCTCAAGAAGGTGCTCAATAAACATTTCCAGTGTATATGCCATCATCTTGATTA